ATCTATACTTACGAGACGTAAGTATAGTTAATCTAAGTTTAAGCAAACTACGCTTCCTCATACACGTGCGCTAACGTGTAAGCCGAAGTAGTGGGCACGTGGCAAGCCCATTACAATGGGTCGCATAACCATTTGAGGAGTGAGCGGCTATACCAGTATTATGCTGAAAACCGCCGCATTAAAGATCCCGAAGTGCTCCGGCAAATTGCCGATATGAGTGCTGGTACGGACGCCAAGGGAATTCTAGATTATCTACGGCGAAATGCAGGTCGGTTTATTTTCGTGGCTAATTGGAGTGATGTGTCAAGAAATTGCTCACTCCTCTGTTTGTTCTGCTTCCTAGGCAAAAAGACCCAACTGAGAGATGTCCACAATACTCTAGCAAAAATAAATCGCGAACGCCGAGCTTCAACGTCGGATGAACAGCGCACTGAAACATTACTTCGGGAGTTTTGCTTGATATCAGGAAATTCCGCATGTATGTTCACTAATGATGGCACTAGCGTCATTGATGTAGTTTGCATTCAGTCCGCTCGGCAAAAGAGACTATTCCGCGCATTCCCGGAAGTCATTCTCGTCGACACAACCCACTGCGCTAACCGTAATTTGTACAAGTTGTTTAGTGTTATGGTTACTGATGTATTCGGGAAGGTATTGCAAACGTTTGATCTAGTGCAACTATAGATCGATCTACTTACAAGTTAATGCTTCTTACAGGGACAATACGTGCATCATTCAATTTTTGAGCGAGAGACAGAAGCCAACCTGCTTCTTTCTATCGGACAGTTCAAGAAGGAGAATCCATCGTGGAACAATGTGCGAGTGATAGTCTCAGATAAAGACTTTAATGAAAAAGAAGTCCTCGCGGAGGCGTTTCCAAATGCGAGGCAGCTTCTATGCCAGTTTCATGTTATTGCAAGGTTGCGACTGAAGGTAAAAATTCAGATGAACATGTCGATCTGTATCTTTGCTTACAGGGACGCTAGTCTGTTGAATTAGGTTGGTGAACTGGCAGACGTAACTATCGAGAAGAAACAAGCTGTGAAGGCCTCTTGCCATCTCATGATGAAATCGCAAAATGCGTTGGAGTACAAGAAGTACAAGGACACGATGTTACGGTTGCTAGGAGGAAACACGTCAGATCCATTCTACAAGTACTTCCAGGCGAATTGGGAGCTTTGCAAAGATGAGTGGGTGGATTACCACAGGGACAACGTACCGCATTAATCAAACCACACGAACAACAGGATTGAATGCGGCTGGGTCAAACTGAAGCAGAAAGTCAAGCGCGAGTACACAATTGATGAAATGCTCGCCACAATCATTATGCTTCAGGAATGGAGTGAAGACAGTTACGTGAAGGAGTTTACTGCTCTGGGTACTCGTCAGACGCCTTTACAAGAGGACGCGGTCGATCCAGAACTGTCAACGTTAGCTGTTCAATTGAGCCCCCATGGATACCGTATCGTGGCAAAGCAGTACCGTTTCGCAATAAGTGATCATGCTCAGTATTGTATTGATACTTCCACACCTGGTAAGGCATTACTACGCATGGAAGGTGTGGAAGAAGGAGAGCGGCATGTGGTAAACACTCAGGTACGGCATTGGCAAACCCAAAAACCTGACGCTTGTGACAGTTCGTCTAACCTATTTCCGTGTTGTTTTCTCTAGACTTTCCAGTGTGACTGCGTCTTCATGCAAACGCTTTATTACCATGCCGTCATGTGATGCGGTTGCGTCTCGTGGTCAGATGTGAATCTGTCATCCCCCCACCAAAGTACTACACGAGACGGTGGTCACTGTTAGCTCTGTCTAATGACATCACTGCTGGAAGTATCGACTGCGCTGGGTCATTTCAAATGAAGACATTGCCGGATCAACCTCGCGCAACGATGCCGAATGCTCAGAAGTTTAGCAATGCACGTGCACTGTACGAGAGAATCCAAGGTATCATGGCTTCTCAGACAAGGTCGGCATTCGAAGCGACCTTCAATATTTTGAGCAACGTGGAGGTGATGATTCGCCAAGGCCGTGGTGAAGAACTGGCTGACATAGTCAAGCAAATGTCTGTGTCATCTGCAAAAAAGGTGGAGTGTGCTTCTAAGGAGAGAAAGCGAGTGTAACGGGGTACGAACCCATGTGTACCCAAGTTACATGAAGAGTGACCAGTCACTCTTGTAAATACCTGGTACCTGGTACCAGGGGCTCTAGGAGCCAATCATTGCATATCTACCTAGATTCAGTATAGGTAACTTATAGTTTGTATTAGATACC